CCCTTAAAGCACTTCAGGGGACTTCCTGCCTGTCCTAGCTAGCTAGCAGAGGCTGATCCGAGGGCAAAAGCCAGACAGATTATAGGGGAGCATGAAGATAGCATTTCCAGGGCTCTGTTCAGACTGCCCAGATACAGGACCAGCGACATGATTTGTAGGGCCCTGTACAAAATGAAAATGTAGTGCTTCTTGTTCAAAACTTATCAAGAACTTCAAGACAACATCAGCAGAGCACAGGGCCTTCTAGGCCAGTCTTCATGGAAGGACAGGGTTAAGTATCAAGGGAGAGGACAGAAGAGCCTTCCATCCTCTAAAGCTCTAGATTTTAGGGTAAAGTGAGCTGGGAGTTATGCTATTCATAATAGCAAAAAGGTGGAAACAACCCAAATGTCCACCAACTGCTGCATAGAGAAACAATGGGTATATATCCATACCACAGAATATTATTCTGCCATAAAAAAGAACAAAATACTGGTATGTGCTATAACATGGGTAAACCTTGAAAACATTATGCTAAGTGAAAGAAGCCAGTCACAAAAGGCCACGTTTAAAATGATTCCATTTGTATATGTCCAGAATAGACAAACCTCTAGAGACAGAAAGTAGACAGATTTGTGGTTGTCCAGAGCTGAGGGGGTAGGAGATGGGGGAGAGGGTTGAGGCTGATGGCTAAAGCCTACAGGTCTCTTTTGGGAGTGATGAAAATGTCCCCAAATTAATTGCATGATGATTGCACAGCTCTGTGGTTATACTAAAAAAATCACCGAATTGTGTATTTTAAGGGGATGAATTGTATGGCATATGATTAAATATCTATTAAATCTCAATGAAGGTGTTACCAAAGAGGAGGAGGAGGAAGAGGAGGAAGGGACTTAAATTCCTCCCTCTCTTTTTCTCTCTCAGCCAATGTTATTGAAGGAAGCCCCTCCCTCTCGTCGGTGAAGGTTTTCGGGCAACCCTGCATCAGCCTGGTCCTCTTCTCCAGCTGTCCGAGTGTGTGTGTGTGAACGAGGGTGGGGAGGACAGCGTCTTGCTTCCTCTCCAGTTGATGTGACTCTAGGAGGCAGCCACGTGCAATAAAAGAAAACATGCACAATCCTGTAGTGAGTCCTGCGTCCGAATCCTAGCACTGTCACGTTCCATCTGTGGGACGTTGAGCAAGTCAGGGCACCTCTCTGAGCCTCTTTCTCCTCTGCCCAGCGCTGGAGATCGTGTGCCTCACGCAGTGAGAGCTCTAGAAACAGCAGCAAAACCAGGATTTGATCCGGGCTGAGCCACCAGCGTGAGGCGCGCCCCCCTGCAGGAAGCATCCAGTGGCGCGGAGGGCCTCCCGGACGCTTCGGAAGCCAAGGACAGGAGCGGTAGCCCTCAGAGTCGTCCCCCGCCCCCAACCCCAGGCCCGGAAGGAAGCCAGGGCAGCGGAGGGGCCCCGCGGCCAGAGCGGGGAGCCGGGTTGAGGGCCGGGAGCCGGGCCGCAGCCGCCGCTGCTCATCCATCAGCCGGACGAAGAGCAGAGGCGCGCTCTCGGCCCTCTGTTTGCTTTCTCGCCAATTATTGCCGCGCCGCAGCCCCTTTGTTGATACAGTAGTCCGAAAAAGTGCTAATGTTCATTTATCAGGGGGCCCGCCGGGGACTCCCACGAGTTGCGATTCTTCCCAAAATATAAACATGGGGCGAGCGTCCCAGACAGAAACCCCCATCTGTTTCCCCGGCGCGGGCGGAGAGCGAGGCGTTGTTGAAGATAAAGCCGCGGATAACGCCGCCTGTCTCCAATGGACGTCTCCCCGGCGCATTAATGACATTCCCGGTGATAGTTCCAGCTTATCTTTCAATTAATCATATATACCTTTTGCGGCCGGCCCTGCTGATTGCAGGAAAGGGGGGCCGGCTTGGGCCGTGCCGATCGCTTTTTCAATTAATAATATTTTATGCGCTCAGAATGCGCTCAAGTCATCTGGAATTTGGCTCATCTTAAAGCCCCAACTCTTTAAAAGGCGAGGAAATAGATGGATAGATTTTTCGATCTCTCCTCTCTGCCTCCTTTTCTCTCTCTCTCTCTCTCTCTCTCTCTCTCTCTCTC